AGTGGGTCCTGGCTGTGGGCTTTAGAGCAACCAGAACGTGCTCTCCCGGATGGATGGGGCCCTTCCCCCGGCAGAACACCCTTTTCAGTGTTAAACTGTGCTTACCGAACAGCTGTCCACGCCACCCTGCGGGAAGCCGGCACACAGCATGCGGCTGCTGATCTGCACGGGGTAGTAGCGGCGGCAGGCCTGCTCGCTGAGGAGGCGCACAGCCGCCTTCTGCAGTTGCCGTGCCATGGAGCCTGTGGTGAGACGGGCGGTAGGCCGTGAGGGACCAGGCTGGAGGCCTTCCTGATGCCCCCCGAGGGTGCGGGGCCTGGCTCCAAGTATCGGACTCGCCTACCTCCCTCTCGCACGGAGCCCCAGCCGGTGATTACACAGCGTGCCCCATTGGGGGGCCGGGGTGCAGGCTCCGGCAGGCAGATGGGCCGAACCAGGCGGCTTCGGTGCACAGGCCCAGCCAACTCCAGCAGCGCCACGTCATAGTCGAGCGTGTAGAGGTTGTAGAAGGGGTGCTTGTAGATGCGTGCCACGCGCTCCAGCTGCCCCTCAGCGCCACTTAGGAACGGTGTGCCCAGAAAGGCCACCCACTGCTTGGGATCCCCATAGCTGTAGGGTGCGTGGGGACAGGTGTTCTGGATCCCCGCACCCCGGTTACCCCCGCCTGTGGCTCCTCTGGACTCTGCCCCGTAGGGCTGTGGCCTTGTCCTTGCCTGTGCCCCAGGGGGGTGGTCAGGGACCTTTGGCAGGGCACTCAGCCTCTGGGCCCTGGGTTGCTCATGGATATGGGGATGAGTCATCCCTCCTGGGACAGTGAGGGGGGCCTTGCCTGAAATGCACCCACAGCAATGAGGTGACATCACATTACCCATTTCTGCCCAATATTAGGGCTCTGGTGGCCAGAGGGCCCCTGCCCCACCTGCCCATTCCCTCTGACCCCGTCCTGCAGTGTGCCTCCAAGAACTGGCTTTCTCCAAGGAGGGCAGGGCCCCTGGCCTGTTCCACCCTGAGCAGCCTGCCCTGAAGGGGACTCCCC